CGCAGTGCCACTAACAATGGTAACCACTACGCCATCGGAACTCCACGAGAGGGGCGTGGTGAAATGACGGGTTTGAAGTCCATTTGAAAATTGGTCGGTACCTCCAATCAATATGCGCTTATAATTCATTAGGCTAAACGTAACCGCTCTTCACCTCGGGTTCTAAACAGAACCGCTTACCTGCGCTGGTCCTACACAGAACCGCTCATCTGCTCGCGGCCGGGGCGCTGGTTAGGTTAGGTTGCCCCTCGTATTTACTACAATATCACCCAATATCGGAGGCTTCTACGGGTTATAGCAGTTTAAATACGGTGTTCCAGTACAGACGAGAGAGTATGTTACATTTTTTGTTTCGAAATTGAAGCTCAGCGCCTAGAAACATCCATTGAAATCTGGGAATCACCCGCCCGTATTTCAGAAAGATAAGCGGTTCTGCGTAGGACCCGTGCAGATGAGCGGTTCTGTTTAGAGCCCTTAGTAATGAGCGGGTCTGTGTGGACTAAAAACAAATAAGCGCATATTGATAGGAGGTACCGTGGTGGCATGAGAAAAATTTCCGACAGACGGAGAGTCGAACCACCGACCTCCCGCGCTCTGAGCGGGCGCGCTACCGACTGAGCCATAGAGGCGACATTCAGATCGGCGCTCCAGGGAACGAATCATTCTACGCTGTCGCTGACTGGCGTCGCTCCTTGTCTCCCGTAATACAGAACCGACTTTGAACGCGCCGTGGAGAAGACGGGCGGGCGGCCGAGAGCGCTAAATCGTGCTCGTGTCAAACTGCTCGCCCGAGATTCGACTCCCGGCTGGGGCAGATATATATTTTATCTCCTTCACTTCTGTGGCAGCTGAGGTTGCTCAATTGTGACCAGTCTGGAACTGTCTGGGGTTCCCGGCCAGCGCATTTTTTTTTTTAATTTTTGTTTTTTACTCGTTCTTTACCACCACCTGCACCTACTCAGTGGTAGAAGAACGAGTATTGATCTCAGTGCGATGTCACGCGTAACGCTATTCATGCTCGGAGTACAGAATATGTACACTTATGATACTTGTACCATTCGAAACTGGGAATGTTGTAGGCGTGACCAACAATGGACCTTTTTTCAAGTTTGACACTACTTTTTTGAGAACTCTTAACAGATTTCACAAGTTTTCAGTCTAAGTTCCGTCTGCCGATGTTGCTTCTGCTATTGTGCCGCCAACTGTAGATTCATATTCATTTTGGTTTTCACGGAACGCGCATCTTTTTGAAAGCGCCGACTTTTGCAACAATGCTCTTGTCTTGTGACCTGAAGGGAATACCGAGAATAGCGCCTGTTCTAGCCTTCTTTTTAATTTCGTCATCATCCAGTTTCATATGGTACATGTTTAATAATTGGCTGAGCGAACGGAATCTTTACCGCAGCCTTAGCTTAAACTTAGCGATGCCACCTTTTTCCAGGCTCGGTTGACACCCGATGGTCGCGATCCCGATCGAGGCCGCAACCCCAGTTTGGCCAACTTGACAAAGAGGGATGTTATCAGAACTGCTATGAGATCAAAACTTGCGGTGGATATAAAGTACGAAATTTGCAAGGACTTAATGTTTTGAGCAATAGGGAGTTAATTCTGAGTCTAAAACAATAATATTTAGAAACATTACAACAGTTGTCATGAAGTAGAACTTCTACGGGGAATGTTGGTGCACTTGGTTTTAGCAGACAACATTGCGGC